TCTTAAACATACCCTTTCACATATTTGAACTTTAAATAAGAGAATAAAAACTACACTACTACATTTAAACAGCAAGAGCAGCAACCGCAAACAGCTTCTCACCTGTGGGCGAGGAATAATTCAACTGTAATACTGGGGTGTGGAGGTTGAAAGGTTACCAGCTTAAAAAAAAAAAACCTGAAAAACAACATCCTTACAGACTATGCTATGAGGAAGCTCCTTCGGGTGCTTCAAGAACCTGCTTCCTGATTCAGGAGGAATAGTATCTCGACACTGACGTCAAACCACCATAAAGCAAGCCCTAAAGGTTTAGTTCGTTGAATGGGTGGAGTGCAAGCAATTTAATCCAAATAAACCCAGGGGACTCAAATGCAAGTAGAAAGGCTAAAGAAAAGCTTATGTTGGGTTATAGAAAAGTAAAAGTTGAAACTACAGAGAATAACAACAACTATATACTATGCTGCAAAAAAAGACGCCTGGGGCTTATCTCCTGTTTAGAAACACTGATTCTAATTATATTATTCATCTACCTTAAAATATTTTCTTTTATTTCTGGACAATGACACCTTTTCCTGATTGTAAAACTGCAGAGTTTTTAGGAAAGAAAAATGATTTACATTAGAATAGAGGTGTAAGACAAAAAAGGTCTATTTATATATAACTAGGAAAAAAAACTGTATTTTTATAATATATTTCACCAGGGGCGCCATACGGGGGGAAAGTTAGGAAGATTCTAAGGGCCCTAGACTGAGGGGGCCCTAAAAGAAGAACAAAAGATATGACCGACTGGATATTTCAAATATCAAAAGAAAAATCCCACAGCAAAATAAATTATTTGTGTTCTCCCTGATCTTTCATCATTAAACAGCAAAACAAAGCATGAATATATATTGACCAACTACCCCCCCTCTAATAATTCAGATTGAACTATAGCCATTAAAAGGCATCTTTAAATCTTGATCAATCTCATGAGCAGACTGAAACAGCTACACCAAAAATATTGTAATTACATGTATACATGAATGGAAATCAATTTCTCACGGCCAGCTTAAAACTAATCTGTCCTTTGTTTAAAGATTTAAACCTAATGGGAATATATTTTCAAAATCCAAAACTTATTTTCTTTTCATATGCACATATATACCTCTAGGTTTTTTGTTCTAAATAAGCTGTTATTATTTTAAGAGGATAATTTTTTATGTAAATTTTAAAGTTATATTTAGAATAGAAAATCCCTTTATTGTCCCAAAATGGTGAAATTGTGGTGTCTAACTTTTTAACTTTACGATATATATGAAATTGATAATGCAAAGGATACTCTTTGATGCATCTTTATAGCAATTTTAAAGCTTGCATCAATGTTTCTTTTGTGATCAGAAAATTCAATAACCAGAATATGCTGGGGTTTTTTTTTTTTTAGAAAACATAAAATAAGCAACAATTAAAAATTTTTCTGTTGTTTTTCCTTGAGTGGAAATTATAAGTGGAAAGTATAAAAGTATAAAGTAACCTTGAAAAATAAACAGCCAGATGCCACTATGAACTAAAAGCTCAATTTTTCGACTATTTTGAAAAATTCTTTGAGATAGGGCCATGGATGAGGGAGGTCTTGTTGGTCTCCATCTCCCGATACGCTCTCGCCTGTGTCCGACCTTTCAGACATTTCAACATCTTTTTATGAATCCTACATTGTAGCATGGCATAGACAATTAATTTGCAATTTGAAGAACACCTGATTGCTTGTAATGATTTCCTTTAGCTAACCAATAAGTGTTTGCGTTATATGACTCATCCAACTACACTAGTTTTCGCTAGATGTGGATGGAGCCAATGATCTGCACTGGATGGCGCACATGACGTGAAATAAATATTTGTAAACATTAAACCGAAGCCAAGAGTAACGCGTAACGTTAGTTTTAAAAATGTAAGGAATAGAAAGTACACATACTTGTGTGAAAATGTAATGAGTAGAAGTCAGAAGTAGGAAGAAAAGTAAGTAATGGAGTAAAGTATAGATACCTAAAAAGTGTACTAAAAAGACCCCAGGCTGGGAATCAAACCCAGGACCTTCTTGCTGGAAGGCACATACTAACAAATAAATTGAAATTTAATTTCTGTTTGTTTTTAGTAGAAATTATTTATCCATCAATCCATCTCCTGACACATTTAATCCCAAGTGGGGTCGCGAGGGGTGCTGGCCTATCTCCAGGACAGGTCACCAGTTCATTGCAGAGCAACACAGAGACACACAGGACAAACAACCATTCAGGCGCACACCTAGGGAGAATTTAGTGAAGCCAATTAACCTAACAGTCATGTTTTTGGACTGTGGAAGGAAGCCGGAGTACCCGGAGAGAACCCACGCATGCTCAGGGAGAACATGCAAACTCCATGCAGAAAGACCCCGAGCCGGGAATCCAACCTGCGACCTTCTTGCTGGAAGGCACATACTAAAAAATTAATTGAAATTAAATTTCTGTTTGTTTTTAATAGAAATTGTTTATTGGAATATGTCCTTCCTCTTAAGTAAAACAGAATACAACCTATTCAATTAGCCCTTTATTACTGATTTTATGATTAGAAACTCCAGTCAGCAAAATAATGCATTGAATAAAATGAAATGAAATTTGACTCAAATAGATCAAATAGGACTCTAATGTTGATGTATCTGAACAGATGCCATCCTTTTTAGTTACTGCTGTAGTGCAGTGGTTCTGCTGGGTTAGGGGGGGTGGGTCTCTCCCTGTCCTATCCGTGATGGGGGTCCGGGGATAAGCCGCCTGACAGCAGCAGATGATGCATATTTACCCCAGGCCTTCCACAGTGGCCCCTCTGCTCTACATGTCCGACCCTCTGTCAGCTCACCCTGACGTGCATTATTTAACTCAGCTCTCAGACGCTTTAGGTCGCTTAAAAAAAAAAACACAATTCAGAGGCGCACATAAAATGAGCGTCGGCACACACCTGCCCCCAGCAGCAGGGATAAACAGCAGCATGGAGCGCTCTCACCTTCAGCCCCGCCGCAGGGATCTACAGCCCAGTCCGGACAAACATGTCAGCGACACCACAGAAGCCGAGCTCCATGAACCGGGCCTTGGTTTGGGATTTTCTCCCACTCTTTCTGCTCGGTTTAATACCAGCTGTGTCTTTATCGCAGTGGTTTATCACTGTTTCAGGCACGGCCACCAGTAGGACCGCTGCTGCTGTTTCAGTTGCAGATACAAGCACTTCCGCTGCAGACTTTCAAAATAAAACCACCCTTTAAAAAGTAAAGTGTCTTTAACCTTAAAACATGTTTCACGCTTTAATGTTGGATTCATTGCACTTTACTTCCTGGTATATCTTTGCCTCTTTAAAGTCTTGATTTTACGACACAGCCCCCGCCCGATCACCCCCTTATATAGCCACTTCCGGCACATAGTATTTCTGTCACACAAATTGGAAATGTGATATTAATGTCTTAAAAGGTCTTAGAAAAAAAAGATGGACTGCAACTGGTCCAACATCAGCACAGAGATGAAGCATTATCTGCTGTACTGATGGCACTTTGCAAAATATATTTATACCTTTAAAAACCTTTTCATGTTTTTTATTATTTTAAAATAGTTTAATTTTATAGGCTTGAATCTATAGGTCAACACAAAGTGGCATGAAGGTATAAAGTGGGAAGGCAGGGATACACTGCTTTCAGATTACAAATCCACGGGAGGTTCTCAACAGGGGCCAATTATGTGCTCAAACATACATAGTATATTGACTGATTTAATCTTTTTCTCCATAAAATTCAGTTTTAATTATGATTTTCATCTGCTAAATGTAATTTTGAACTTAATAAAATAGAATACTCTTATTTGTTACCAATAAAATCTGTTTTAGTTTCCCTTAAGTACTGATTCTGATTTGATTAAAACTGTCTATTTTCATTTTCAAATATATGCAATATTCCTGCAATATCAATGTACATTGACCTAGAATACCAAGGAATAGCTTAGTAGATATACATTTGGCAAATAATTACTTTAGTTGTTTTGTTTTCCATAGTTAGGGATATATATATATATATATATATACATATTTTTTTCATATAAAAACCACTATATATAAATAAAAAAATTTCATACCAAAAACACATGTTTTCAATTGGACAACAAGGGGCTATTAACGGACCCATTAATATATTTCAAATGATGAACTATTGCCCTGTTTTTTGTTGCATGCTTTTCTGTGCATCAATTAAAACTCGCTGACCCCACCCTGACCCCCGGGTAAATTTGGTCCAGAGCTACCACAAAATTTTTTTTTTTTTATTATTATCTACTTTGACCTTCTATTTCATATTCACACCTAATTCCTTTTAATACAATAGAATTGAAATCTCTTTATTGTCCCACAATGGGGAAATTCTGCATTTTAAGTTGCGGTAGCTTCATCCTATGTGGAGAGGATGTACGAAGAAAGTATGCATCATTAGTTAATCACATGGACTTTTGTCTTTAAATCGTCTGAACAGTTATTCATAGCAGACAAAAAAATGCAGGACTTTTTCATGTTAATAATTTTTGATTTATATTGCTCTGCATGAACCGCCATAGAATAAATATAACAAGGACCTGTGTTGCACTCAGTCTGTTCATAGGTTAATGAACTCCTCTAAATTATTTAAATTGACAATTTTTTGTGTTCAGTGTTCTTCAGTGGTCATAAATCTTAGTCGTCACTCATAAATCCAACAGGAAAGCTGTGAACTGTAGAGGATCTAGAGAAGGCTGTAAGTTGAAAAATTATCCCCCTCACTGTATGCTGAAATCAACCTTATAAATCATCACAGGATAAGGGTTAGTGTTGTCCTGCTGGCAAAAAGGGGGGTTTTTCAAAACGATTACATTTTTAGAATAATAATGTATTATCAGCTATTTCAAATCCATAATATAGGCAATATAAAATCTTATCAAAGACTAAAAATATAATAAAAGATGACAAAAATGTTTCCTTTTTTTTACTTTTTTAAAGAAACAATGTGTACAATATTTACAAGACTATTTATATATACTGCCAAATGCTGATTTAGCATTTTAAAAACAAACTATATACAAATCTACAAGGTTCAAATGTCATAAAGTTGTTTTTTTCAAGGTGAGCTTGTAAAATGACATTTTAATTGCATGATGACCTTAAGTTTACATTCAAATGCTTAAAGAAAATCTGTTGTCACTGGAAAAATAATGCAGCAGATCATTTTGACAGCGCTGCGAAAGGCAAGGAATATAACATCAATTCAGAGCATCATAGAACCCATCGGACCGTAAATGTCTTTGACATGGGTAAGGCCAGACCAGTTACTGTCAGAACCTATAAAGACAGGAGAAAAAACATTATTCTGGATGGTTGCAACATGATGTAAAGAAAGGTTTTGTTTCTGTAATTGAAAAATGTCAAAGCAATAATTGGTGACTAGCCCAGAACTGACCTTCATGTCGGCCTGATATGTAAAGTCACTGACTTTCTCTCCATTTGCCAGGACAGAAAAAGGTGATGAAGGCACTCCAAAGACCCGGAGGCCTCCCAGCAGAAGGTTAGCCAAAGCCTCATTGAGGTTCAGAAGGTTACTCGTAATCTGGGCCTAAAACAAAGGGATAATTAACACCCCTGTTAGTCAGAATACAAACATAAACCTGATCAACTTTACATCAACATCAAGGATATGGCTACCCTTCTCTTACAGTGCCTTAAAAACAGATCAAAGGCTTGAGATGATTAACATTTGATCGCGTTAGGCCACAGACCTCAATGTGTTTTACTGGGGATTGAAGTGATGGCAAGCACAAATTAGGACATGACAGTAAACTGAAAGGAAAACAATACATGATTGTTTTTGAGTTCTCTTTACATCTGAAAAGAAATCCATAACTTGTTCTAGTTTTCTATAAGACATGAGGGGTACACAACAACCATCTGAAAAGATGAGACTGAACTTTGGCCCTGTTTGCAAAACCATGAGAGGCAGACCCCTGTGTTAAGACACGGTTGCGGCAGCCTCATGCTGAGGGCATTTTTTACTTCAACACCAACAGGGAAGTTGGTCAGAATTAATTGGAAGATTCAAAGAAATCACCACTCAGTGTAGGTTTACTGCATTAAATCCCCCGGTTTTACACTGAGGGCAGTGGTTTGGATGTGACAAAATGTGGAGAAATTAAAATGTTATGATAATGTTTCTAAAAGATTAACGTACCTGTCCAGCAGTGAAGTTCACATAACAATACTGGTTTGTTTCATAAGTACTAAGACTGTCTCCATCATCCCAGAACAAATCCCCCCATGCCCGGCCATCCGCGGACAGCGCCACCGTCAGGAAGAAAGGGTTTCTGCGTGAAGCTGTGGTGGTCAAAGCAGGTTCCTTCACAGAAAAAAAAAGTTATAAGACATTTCAAAACAGAAGTTTTTTTCACTAGAATGTCACAAGGATTATACAGGACATTAATCCACCATAATTTGACGAAACTATTAAACAAAGCATAAACAGTCGCCCACCAGGAGACGTGTTGGGCAAATGCTGTAAAGCAGCAGTTAGACTACAGCAAAATAAATGCATCTTAGATAACAAATCCGGACAGAATTGTCACACTTAGACAAAAACTAAAATAAAAAGCTCATTCTTGTAGATTATGTGGAGTCGAGACCCACCTGCTGGGGAATGATGTGCCCCTCCCTCACATGGATGTTTATTGTTTCCAGAGGGGCTGGTAGCTGAAATAACTGACCATTACTGTGGAAAGGCTGACCCTGGAATTAACAAACCAGATTTTAGTGAAACTATTTGCTTCCTATACTCCTTAAACTTTGCATATTATGTCACAAACATAAATTCATTGTTATGGAGGACCAGCTCTACCATATTTAAAAATAAATAAATGCTCAATAAATAAATAAGCATAAAATTAAATGCCCCCAAAATACAACAAATAAATAAATGTAGGTAGAAATTAAATTATTCAGTGAGACATAAATGTATATATCCCTTTTAATTAGCTTATTTATTCGCCTTTGTAATAATTACCGTATTTATTTATTGTCTGTTTATAATCTTCAACTTTATTTATTGATTACTTAGTTTAAGTATTTATTTATGTGCATGTTATAATATTTTTGCAGGTTTTCTTCTTCCTTTGTATATTTTTATTATATTATTTTTCACATTTGTAAAATAATTATTGATAATAGTAAGACTCAATCTGGTGAATTAAGTTAATTTGGTTAACCATTTCTACTTTAAGTGGACAGCCATGTTCTGATAGCTGTACTTCTACTTTATAAGCTGATTTAAATGTCTACCAATTTATCCCTGAATGGTTTGCTCTGTTCATTTGTCTTCATGATGCAGTTCATCTGCTCATGATCTTTAACAAGCCTCTAAGGCATTTACTGAACAAATAAAAACAACTCAAATATAAATTAAAGTTGGTTTAGTCTGAATTATGCAGACATTCAGAGGGAGTGAAAACTTAAAGTTTTGTGTTTTGTAGAAGAAAAAGTTAAAGACTGAATGAACCTGTGTGGTAGCCCTTACATTTTGCAGGTGGTACCAAGTGCCAGCTGGTAGGTATGCACTCAGTTCTACAGCCCCTTGCTCTAAAACTGGACTTATGAGAAGTGAACTCCCCCACAGGAACTGTTGGTCTTTGGTCCAACAATTAGGATCAGTGGGAAACCTGAGAATTATAAAACCAAAAGAGAGAAGAACAAAGAAAGTCTAGATACTTCAGCTTCATGTTAGATTAAAAAGTTTAGAAGAAGAAGAAAGTACGTACTCCATGAAGAGGGGCCTAGCCACAGTGTCAGCAGATGTGTGTGCATGATGGAAGAGGGTGTAGAGGAACGGGAGAAGCGAGTAGCGAAGGTTCAATGCACTCCGCATGGCTCCCTGGGCTTTCTGCCCAAATACATATGGCTCTTGAGGCTGAGGGATGAGACAAGTGAAAACAGTGTGACATCTTCTCATAGTACGCGACAGATACTACAGATACCTGTAATGCCTCACAGACATGAGATAAATATCAACATGTACTGAAACATAAACATTGACTGTGCAAAGAAGTTGGTCTGAAAAAACCCCGTGACTCAGACTCGGAGGTTGATATTCTTCCAGGACATCCCACAGGGCAAAGCTCTTATGACATTCTCCGTATAAAAGCCCTTTTCCCTTATGCAAAGGCCTCTTTTTGATCTGTATATCAAAGCAGATTGGGGAGACACATGTCCCTGCTGGAAAGGGTCAACATTCTTCAAACTTTGATCAAATGTTAAGTACGGCCTGCAGTCAACGACCACAGAGATAGTACAGCTCAGGCTATCTGCACACTTCTGAGTTTTGCAGGACAGGCTGAAACCAGAGACCCAACAGGAACTGAATAAGACCAGGTTTCACCTTCTGCCATGGTCACAAAAAACAACTAGAACCCACTATAGTTAGTGGGGTTTCCCTGGAAGAATACTGCATAGAAGCTGCTCAGCCATAATCCCAACCACAGACGTCCCTAAACCTTCCTGAAGTCTAGAAACCCCTCATCTTCCTAAGAACAGACATAAAAGAGGTACTAGGTCTGACAGTGAAAGCTTAACAAGTTGGGGTTGGTCTTTTTTCCTGTATGCTTGAGGTATTTTTACTGTGTTTTAAAGCCAAACTGAAAGTCTAACAGCTTAGCTAGCAGCTATAGCATGCTAGCATTTTTTAACCAGTTGCTGACTTGCTTCAATAGGAAGCATTTTTTAGTACATTTTAATTTTAGTCTTTTTTCCTTCTATATGCACATAGTAGCAATTGGATTTAGCTGAGTTTCACTAGCTTAGTTGACTTTTTGAATTAAATATGTTTAATTTAGATTTAAATTATTTTTTTTTTATAAGTTCTTAGATTTTGATTGGATGTTGCAAGTTTTTTTTTCCATATGTGAGCAGATTTAAACGTTTGACCATGGTTGCTCAAATCAATCTTTCACAGGAAGAAACAATTTGATTGAATATTAAGTGACATAAATGCAAACAATTTTGAAACATAGATCTCAAATCCCCATGACAGACGCTACGAAAGGAATGGCGTAAATAGTATCTGAGTCTTACAGCATTGGGCTTGTCATTGTGGTTCCTCATGAATGGATAAAAGGCACCAAGCTGCATCCATCGCACACACAACTCCTCAGTGGTGTTGCCTTCAAAGCCGCAGATGTCTGCTCCGACCAGGGGCACGCCGAACAGGCTGAAGTGCAGCACAGCTGTGTGAAAATAGTACCAAAGTTCACTGTAAATATTTAAACATTTGCTTTTTCAGCTTCAAACCAAAGTTTGGATGCCTAAACTAATTAAGACATTTTTTTTGTATTCAAAATTTCCGCAGAAATGGGTCACTCAGGCCTTTGATATTAGGTATTTATTCACCAGGGATGGAGAACCGAAGCTGCTCCCAGTCACTCCTTACATCTCCTGTCCACACACCAGAAAAATGCCCGATGCCAGGAAAAGAGGAGCGAGACAAAACAAAAGGCTTTTTCCCTCGAATCTTCATCAAAGCACTGAGGATGAAAACATTGTAAATGCTATAAATATACAGCTAAAAGAATAACTACATCTGCATATGAAGAGGAAGTTTTAAGGCAGGTTGTTTCACTTTATTCCTGCATTTGGGGTTTTATTAGGTTATTAATGTGGTCTAACCTGTGTGTTGCATGAGCTTCTGTCAATCCGTACAGATTATGCAGGTTGTAATGACTGGACACCTTCTGCTGCGCAGACATGCATATGGTTCCTGAGTTTAACTGGCCTCCAACCATCCCTGTTTGTGTGATATTTAGAGAAAACAGACTTAAATATAACCAACTGCATCCTAATGTATTTATATATGTTAGTGTTTCATGTCTAACTATAAAGTGCTTTGCAATGGCTTCGCTAACCCTTGAGCTTTTCCATATGTCGTTTATCCCAAACTTCAACATTCTTTATATGGATTCTATGAGACAAAGTAGCGCATCATACGTAGATAGAAAAAGATGCAGTGGTTTTTAACAATACTACAGTAAAAATTAGAAGGTCAAATGCAATATAATTGTCCAGATAAATAGGAAACAGAGTCGTCTTGTGTGTAGTTTTATCTTTACCAATACAGCTGTGAAACATGGTAGTGGTGGAATCATGATGTGGGGTGTTTTTTTTATCCTTTGTTTAAAAAAAAGGTCCATCTGTTTGCCACAAACTATTCAGCGGGAAGACCAACCATAAGGATGAAATTTATTTTTATATGAATGATTATTTCTGATAGACTGAAAACTTAGAACACACAATCCACATGGTGTTGGTAATGACACCATATGGAAAAAAAATTAATAAAAGACAAAAACCCTGCTTAAGGCTAATTTTCAGCCTCCAGAAGGACCATAGCTGTGGGAATGCATATCAGCAGGGTTTTTTTTTTTAGGAAGCATGCCAGTCACTATGGCCTCTGATTTAAAGGACAGACAAGCTAATACTAGCATGGTTTTGTGTGTTTTAATTTGTTACATGTATGAATGGAGTATTTCACCATATTCTGAGAAAAGACAGCATACAAGAGTGGAGGGAGGAGAAACAGCTGAAGTAAATGAGAGCAAACAGACAAGACTGTGGCTTTGCTGCAGGAAACAAATTCCATTGAGTCTAAAACATTATCTCTCGCAACATTTGCCTGCAATCCATATCGTTTGATAGCGCACATATATTGAAAGTTACTGAGTACTACCTAAGTCCATACGTAACGGTGACGCTTGGATGTGATGGTATGACCCACACTGTTTTGATGAGGATTACGCCACATGGCAATCATTTCAAAGTTAGGCCTTTGTGTTTACCTTTAAAGGAATAGTACACCCAAAACATGATTGCGCTTATGCGCACTTTCATCTGGTTTGGTCTGCCGCGGTTTCCGTAGCGTCGTGAACTCGCAGGCGCGCGCTTTCAGGAAATCCTATACACTACTGTTTATGCTCTAAAAACATTCTAAATGACTTCATTTTGAGTAAATTCTGGATGCTACCCACTCAGGACACTTGGAATACATTGGACGAGCAGTATGGAGGAATATTGACACGTTTTTTGTGGACTTTTATGGACCTTTCTGTCTCGGGCACCATAGACCTCCATTATTTGAATGTCAGCAGACAGCAAGAAGCCTCCCAGATCTCCAGATGCATTTGAGATATCAAAAAAGTACTCCAGAGTGTTGTTCAGCATGGGGGTGAGTAGAAAATGAAGGCTAATCATGTTTTGGGTGTACTATTCCTTTAACTCTTAGCCCTGTTTAGTTTTTTTCTCCTGTTTCATGCAAGGACATTCAGTATTTTGTTGTTGTTTTTTTATCTAGGCTTGCTTGTAATTCGGTGGCACCCCTCAGTAATGAGCTGGACAAGGGAAGAGCAGTTATATTGTGTTCTTTCAACATTTTGCAAAAGATAAAGGTCCGTCGGAAACGAGCCCAGAAGACCTGCAGCTGTAAAGGTTGCAGTAGAAGGTGGCTCTACGAAGCATTGCGAGTTATCTTTTTCAAAATCCCAATAAAACATTTCAAAGGAAAACAAAACTGAATATGTTTAAGTTTAAGAGTGTAAATACATTATTAGGACACTGGTTGGAAAGTTGCACACCGCTGTATTTATAATGCACTTACTGGGTGTGTATGGTGGTTTCTCAAGCTCTGTGTCAGGGCAGCCCTGTACTGACCCCTGGACAAAATTAGATGGTTCGTTCATATCCTTAGGAAGCAACAGCACAAATAATCCCTTTAGAGCTTTTAGCCTACAGGTACAGAATCTGATTATCCTTAAGATGTGAAAAAAAGGTAATTTGTTTTGTACACTTCTATTTTTTGTTTACTCACAATCCACAGACCATCTACAGAAACTTCAGAATAAAACCCTCGGATGCAGTCCTCCCACCACTGATTTGTCTCCGGGTTTGTGAAGTCAGGAAATGCTGTAGAGCCAGGCCAAACCTGTGTACATGGGACAAACGCAGCTTTTATGAAGATAAATGAGAATTTGATATATGAAGGCCTAAGAACAGCATCTAACCTTCCCGATCAAAATCTGTTCAGTTGCATTTTTGATAAACACGTCTCGTTTCACACCATCTTCAAAAGGAGGGTATGTTCCAGGAGGGCTGGAGCTGCTGATGCCTGGGTCCTGAGGAACAAATCACAAGAACCAATGAAGTCACCCTGGAAGAGGTTTCTGCTGCCATCTACTGGAATAGTCGGTTAATGATCACTTTTACTCATATTTAACTGAAGGTGAGTAGAAAAAATAAAATCTTGCTTTTCTAGGTTTAATTTTTTAATTTCTAATTAGAGATACTTCTAATAAAAAGACAAAAAAAACTCTGATAACTGTAAATGTCATATTTGAAAGATTTCCTACCAGAATGAGGATGTACTTCATGCCTTTCTCATGAATCTCCTGCACCATCTCTGGAAGATCTCCAAATCGCACAGGGTCAAAGGTAAACACCCTTCGCTTGTCTGCATAGTCCAGGTCATTCCACTGCACATCCTGGTGGTGAATAACATGAGATACTCTTTATTCCAACTACAGCTAATAACGTAGGTGATGTAATAAAGGAAAAAATGATCACTAAACTCAGACATGATGACATTTATCAGTTTAGAATCAAACAAGAATCTAAATGTGCAAAAGGCAAAGCATATTTCCTTTAAGCAGTGAACTTGTTGTTAGTTTAATTCACCATAGGTAGGTTTGCACTGTGCATGCGTTCTGCAACCATGCGGGTTGCATTAGTAGTCACATAACCCCAGCGACAGAGATGAAAACCAAGTGACCAATAAGGAGGCATCATGGGATACCCTGGGAAAAAATAAAAATTATCCACTCAGAAGATCTCATTGACATTTCTATGCCTCCTTCTATTTGGATCTGTGTTACTGAAAGCTCAATAACACAGCTTAAGACTTACCAATGATCTGCAGGTACTGTCGTATCACATTCTGAGGGTCAGGGCCCAAAAAAATGTACAGATCCAGGACTCCCCCAGTGGATACCCAGGTGAGAGCTGGTGTTGGCTGCAGCACCACTTCTACAGATACATTTCACAAGAGTTATGAATGAAATGGATCGTCATCATCTGCAATATGAAACGGACATTTTGAAAACAGCTGAACCAATCTCACATAAAATCTTTTGTCTGATCTGTCTCCTTTAAACAATGATGATGGCTTTTTATGAACTTTGAATTAGTTTTGTTGAGTTTCTCAATTTGCATTTGAAATAACATTATCTGACTGTCGATTTTGATGTTAATTTTGTCTTCGCACACATGCTCCAGAAAAAAATAGCAGAAATATTCATACCCCTTCAACTTTTTCTTCTATTACAGCCAGACAGTTTGGCATATATTGAATCTGATAGAGAAATTCAGTAGTGCATAGAAAAGATGTGGAAGAAAATAGATTCCTGGTTTGAATTTTTTTTATGATTATATTATTTGATGTTATTTATTTTTGTCTTTAGGATTAAGAAGGTATTTTAGTTGAACTGAAGTAAAAAGAAAATCTGAAAAGTTTGGTTGCTGTTTGAATTCATTCCTTTGGTCCAATGAATTCACAGTCAACAAAAAGCAAAACAAAAAAAATGAAAATAAAATAACTGCAAACACATTTTTTATAGTGACATAAGGAGATGGCAGCATCATGCTAAGGGGAAGATGGTCATAATCACAGAAGAAAACTGGTTAAATATTGTGAAAGATTTTTAGGAAAAAGACAAATGTTCAAATTTTAACAGGACAAGAACCCAAAGAAAGATGCTTACATAAGCATATAAGGACTGCAACTAATGACTATATTAAAAATTGAACTGCAGATAATTTAAATGATTATTAAATAATTAATAATCGGATAGCCAAAGGTTTTTTAAAGAAAATTTTTTTACAAAAGAAAAAAAGGTGGAAGTAAAATTTTGATCTTAAATGCAAAATGTTTATATAATTTTTACAATTTTTACTGCTCTAAGTAATCTGTCAGCTAAAAGCATGTTTTACAGTCTCTACACTCCAATTAACGATTAATTGATTACTCAATTAGTTGAAGAATATTTTAATAATCGATTGTTTGAGTCTTAAAGCATATACATGTGTTGAAATGATTTAAATAAAAATGAGCTTTGGTTATTTTGAAAAAAGAGAAATGACAAAACACTCTCTAATGCTACATATATAAAGGTGGGAGAGATGGTAACCCCCAAAATTTGCAGCTGTTCTACGTGGTAAAAGACCTGAATTTTTATAGTTCTCCTCAACGCACACAGGGCCGATATGCAAACGGTTGGGGGACTCTGAATAGCGCTAAACCAAGATCGCATCGACTTGTATCAAGGGGGGAAGTTGGAGTTCAACAAAACTATTTTCCAACAGCAAAATAATTACTGGTATTCTTCGTGTGTGCCACAACAGCCCCGGTATTGACTGAGGAATGCAGAGGAATACAAATCCTGCCTCACTTTTAAGATTTGCATTAGTGATTCAAACAAAAAAGTATATATTTTTTAATGAGTTGCAGAACATATTTCTGGAAAATAGTTCATGGGACAAATTAGTGATGGAGGTAGAGATAAGAGGAAAACAGTAGTACTCATAGCATTGCTGTTGAGAAGGAAAACTCCATGTGCTAAGCCATCCTCTTCCTGCACAATGTAAAATGGATGGGAGCCATAGAGGTTAGCTCCAGCCTGCAATGAAAAACAGACACTTAAATACACATCAGCAAATGCATACAGAGAATCCATAAAGGATCTCAATGTTTCTGATACTGTTGATATTTAGCAACCTACTTGTCAGGTTGCTGCGGACACAGCAACAGACTCACATGTGGGGCCATGTCTCTGTTCCAGAGAGTCAGTGAGGTCCAGTTGAGGTCCAGGATGAGAGAAGTGTAATGCTCTCCAAGGCCAGAGACCAGGGAGGAGGCCAGTGTGGTGGAGAGCTGCAGGTACTGGTCAGCAAACAGCAATGGAGCCACTGTAGTGTTCATGCTAATCTCAGACGGAAAACAAAAAACACCCAACTTTTTTAATGAGTTTGTACCAAAATTAACAGCAGACGAGAAGAGCTTGACAAACAGCGATACATACAGGACCCTTCCATTGGACTTGCGTCTCACTACAAAACCGAAGGGTTCGTGTTGGTATTCAGTGGTGTAGAGGACATCCTGGGGGTACGCTTCTGTCTGAGGACTGACCGCTGGGAGGGGGACTTCATACCGAGGAGAGGATGGGTCCTTTAACTGCAGAGAAAACGCTTCACTCAAACATTTTTGTTAAGGATTGAAATGTTGGATACTTAGCAAAAACTAAATATTTTAAGCCCTATGTTATGGACTATAAAATGAAAAAGATGTCATGTGAATTGTATTTCTTTACTGGTGAAATAAACAAACATCTGGGGGGGAAAAAAAGCAAATAACAGAGAAATCAGGTTTGGTGCAACATTTCAATACACCTTTCATTTATAAGATGCATTTAGTGTTTTGATTGGAGACACTCACAACAATGTGAAAGCAGCTTGGGGTCTCCTCTATGACCTCCAGGCTCAGACTTGACACATCTTTGGTGAGATAGGAGGGGCTGTTCCGGTTCAGGAAGGCAGTCTGACCTCTCTCACTTGGGCTAAGGGGTCCCATGTTATAGCCCGGGTACAGAGCCGGGTAGAAGCACCAAGGTGGTCCTGGGAGTCCAGGCAGAGGAGCATACCAGCAGCCCCTCGCCTCACACTCCTCCTGACTCAGCAGCCTGTCTCTGCCACAGTCAAACCGACTCTCTAGAGCCATGGCGCATCGTTTATCCCTGGAACTGCTGGACCGTTGGATGCTTTGTGGGTGGAAATCACTATTTGGTACCTCCAGGTGATAATAACCAGATTTTTTATGTGCTGTATCCTCATTATAACCGTAATAAACCGACCTAATGAGGCTGCTTTCAATACTGAACAAAAAGCCCCTGTTTAAACAAGCTAGCAATGATAGAGAAAGGAGGAGCACGGCGACAGTTATACCAGACAAAATACCCATCCCATAAAAACAAAATAAAACTCTTTAGCAAACTCTTCTACGTCAAATATGTTATTTTCGAACAACAACAAAAAAAGATTAAGAGGAGTTTTTTTTTAAAGACCTATAGCACGGTGGAATGCGTAAAAGTGAATAATAACCATATAATTCACTCAAACTAATACACATGAACGGAGTTTGTTGCTAATAAGTTAGCAACTGTGGGTAAAAAGAGTAAGGCAAGCGCAAAGGGACAAACAAGCTAAAAAGCAAACGTTAATGCTATCGTTATAAAATAAGAACCCTTCCTAAACATACACATAAATAAACATACCCACAAATTTATATAGAGGTGGGTACTAACTTGTTACATTAATTCAGTTACATTTTCTTGGGTATTTTTTGATGAAAATGTAGTTTTAGAAGTAGAGTTAGGGTTTCTGTACTATACTTTTTACTTTTAGTTGATTTAATTAAATATTGTCACTCTTATTTGAGTAAAATGCTTGGCTACTCCATCCAGAATGAGTAACCTAAATTAATTAGTTTTATGTTAAAATTACTAAAATAGGTTTGGAAAAGTGCTTCTCCGGCATGGAATTGTAATTTTTCAATTACATATACATATTTTTGAATCATTTAATGTGGAATATATAAATAACTTTGGGTCCGTTTTGCATATTTTTAGATGGTAAATGAGATGTTATGAGTTGCTCATTGATTGAATAGCCTTTTTACCAAATGCTTTTTACTCTTTAATAATTTCTTGGATGTCTACTCCCTTATACTTGGGTAAAACAAACCTAAGTAAATAAATAAATAAATAAATATATATATATATATATATATATATATATATATATATATATAATTTACCCTTAATAAGGTGCATTTGTTTCTAAAGCAAATCAACTTGTGTAACAACCATAATCAAAATCAAACAAAAATTTGTCAGATCAATACATTTTTCAGTAACATCTTGGTTATGTGTTTAATAAGTTTGGAGTTACCTCAGCCCAATAGAGCATAATTGTCATATATTAGAGCTTGGGGATGCATTTCTAGTTTTATCACATTATTATGAACACACCTCCAAACTTTCTGTAAGATAATAACAGAATAAAGTTACTTTTTAGTCTAGATTGAGATGAGATGCCATTAACTTCTGGGAATTTAGGGGAATATAAGGGCATATTGACAAGCATCTGGGCAAGACTTTTTTTTTTCACAACATGCCAAAAGGCAATGCAGGACAGAAATGTTGGCTAGACAAAAAAAAAAGTTCAGGAGGAACTTTTTAAAAAACTTTAAAAGAACACAGTTCTTCAGTCAATCAATCAATCAATCTGCAGTATATGCAACATCACATATTTCTTTTTCAGCAAAGCCATTCTATTTAACATAGCATTTATACTGAAATACACCTTACCTGTAAATAATTGCATATAATTGTTTTACTTAGCATACTATTTAATCTAGTCTGTAAGTCTGGTGTCTTCTGGCCACATGTTTCTTCCCTTTTGTGAATTTGATAATTTGATGGATTCAAAATGACAAACATCAATGTAAAAATCTTGCTTTTATTACAAATATAAATTACAGATACACATTTTTCAATGAAATTAAAACAATGAAAACAACACAATTTAGGTTGAAATGAGACCAACACTCACAAACTAGCTTCCAGATTAGCTTGAGCAAAAATGAGGTCTTTCTAAGCTTGTGTGAAGCACGGTACATTGGAAACTTAACTGACTCTTCTGATCAGCCATAGAGCATTGTTCTTCGGCTTACGAATACACAATTGGTATATCAAAGTGACAAAATAGTAGATATTACTGATCAACATCTTTAGTAAATATTTGCAATGCAGTCATTGATTAATAACATGGTAACATGTGCATCAGCTAATTCTGTGAGATTAGAATATTTTTTTCTAAGCAGCTATTTTTTGACAAGAATGTTGCATGCAACTGGACCTCTAAAGGTAAATCCCAGGTAGAAGGTGATGTTTTCATTACCATGAGGCACTGAAGGAACAAAAAGGGGCAGGATATTAAACTTCCTTTTCTGGGGTCCCTCAAGGTACACCACCCTATCCTCTGTCCATCCAGAAACCCGTTTCAGCATGGTGGCAATCTCAGGACTTTTCCATGCCTCACCACTGAACCACTTCAGGCGTTTCTCAGAGACTGAGAACCCCTTTGTGATTTTGTCAAACTTTCTCTTGTGAACAAATTTATCAAGCCCATTCCCATTCCCCAGGAAAAAATGGGTGTAGATCCTCCTCTTTCGCTGGGGAATGTCTTTCATCTTAGCCCAGTAGCCCTTTTCAAGGTGCTCAACTGCCGACTGCACAATTTCATATTTGCTTTCTCTTTCTTGGTTTGTATCATGATCCTCAGGCCAGAACAATATGGTGAGCAAGAACAATGCACTTGGCAGACATTTTCTTTTATCTGATGGAAACTGCCGACAAAGAGCCTGGAGCTCTTTCAGAGAGTCTGCCTTCTGTGGTTGAGGAGACAAGCAGTTTAGGGAAATGTGCGCTGCTATGTAATTTACAATATCTGTTTGAGTAAATTTTGCCTTTAATGGGTTGCTTGGGTAGAGAGTAAGGATGTGCTCCAAGCGACGTACTGCATCCTTTTGGTCTGCTAGTTTTGATAGGACAGATATTATGTTGCCTCCACCAAGGTGATAGATAATCATGCGTTTTTGAAAAGGAGTTAGTTTGCTTTCGATCTTCTGGCCTTGCAGAAGCAAAGCCGAATCCGCTTCACTGAAGTACTTGCCATACTCAGCCGATTTCTTTGCCAGCCATATGAGTGGATGGCTGATTTTTTCCTCAGGACTCTCAGGGGTCTCCTCTTCATATCCAATATCTGTCTGGAAGTAGCTGAGGTCCTCTGAAATCCATTCCAGAGCATCCTGCATCGTCTTGTGAAGTTTCTTCAAACGGCCATGAAAAGGTTCCCAGGCACGATCAAGTTCCTCTGGGATGTAATCTGTTAGCAGATACTTCATGCATTCAGCATGGCCATTGGTTTGGTTTGCAAACACTTGAAGTGAGGAGATCAGTCTCAGAAGGCTGCATCCGACCTCCACCTCAGAAAAAAAGCCAGAACTGTTAACATCTTCCATTTCTGCATCAGCTGCCCTCTCACATTCTTGAAAGCACTCAAGGGCTTTTAAAGCGGTCTCCACGGCATCCATTGTATTTTGGGCTGTCTTTGGTTTGCTCTCATTTTCTATAGCTTTGCACTTTGCCTGGAACCATTTTCTGTACACCTGCCCTTTTGTGTCTAGTATGTATGAGTTATTGGGATGCTGCTTAGCTGCTGTCTCTGCCCAGTGTTTTGCCTCTTCAAACTTCTCGTAGGTGTAGTGTAGACGAGCAAGTTGTTGTGCAAAGAATGGATCTTGATGGAAACGCTCAAATGCTTCCGTTAGCAACTCAATTGCTTCATTAGGGTTTTTCTCATTGTCACACACATGTTCAATAAGAGGCGAGAAGAAACTATCATATTCATCACCTTTGCTTATTCTGGACCGCCTCAGGAAGAGTTGTCTCAAAAATGTCAAATACTCCTCTCTTCCAAATCGGTGCTCAAAAAGCACATTCTCAGAGAGTAAATTCATTGCCAATTTGCTCTGGGTCTGTTTGCCTTGCAGAAGTTGTTGCAGAATCTCTTTTGCAACAAGAGGGTGTATGATTCTGATTGATTCAATGTGTGTCTTTTCGTCTCTCAGGTGTAAGAAGACCAACTTAGCCTGATCACTGAGTAAAGTCTCAAACACATGCTGGCGGAACCTCTCCAAGTGGACAGTCAGTGAGAGCAACGCTTCACAATGAGACTGAGAGATGAATGAGTTTTGAACATATGTGTTCAGCAAAGCAACGTAATGAATGAGGCGAGTCACGACTGATTTTTGGTCAATACCCTGGAGTAAATGTTTAACAAAGTCTTGAATGTAATCTTGGGAGAATCCTTCACTCATCAAAACAAATGTTAAAATAAACTGAGGAGCAAAGCGTTCCTCGAGAGCTTTCCGCTTTCCTGCAAACTTTTTCTTCTCTTGAATGGACAGTTTGTGGGTTACAGACACGTTCTGTAGAGGAGACTCTTTGCATCTCTTCTCTGGATCGTGGGAACGTCTGCAGCTTAACAGAATGAAACAAAGGGTCCCATACTGGATTTGTTTGATGTTTACTGCAACCTCCAGTTCATTCCTCAGATCATCAAGATATTCCTTGTCTGTGTCTTCAAGAAGGAGCAGCACAGGGAGGCACTTCTGAGGATCTTTTTCTTCATATTCTCTGAGCTCTACAGCATGCTGAGCAACAACAGAGGTAGGGTGAGGCTTTACAACTGCACATCTCAGATCCTTCCTGTTATGCCACAACACCTGTTTTGCCACAGTGCTTCCACCACTTCCTGGGTGATGGTAAATGTTTATGCAGTTCACCGGAGTCTGATCAATGTTAAATCTCAATGCATCGTTAAGAAGTTTGGACGTCTCATAGTATGCATCTCTTTCTATTAACTCATCAACATAGTTGTGTTCAGCAAGCCAGAAATTGAGCCAGGTGACTCTCCCACCTCGGTAAAACTGGCCTTCAATGTTCTCCTTCTCCTCCTTGATGAATTCTTTGGTGCTGTCGTCACAGTGGTTGACAGCAAGAATTTCCAGAGAGTACATTTGTTCTTCTATCTGTGTTTCAAGAATACAAGTCCCTTTTACAAAGACAGGAAGGTGTTTCCTGACATGTGCTTTGACGGGTTGTACATGCTGCAGAGTTGCATTAATGTGACTCATCTTCATCCCAACAATGCTTGCATTGTTTACAGCTTCTTTTCCACAGGAACCCTCTGCAAAGCTTTGCCACTTGTGATAGTTTTTCTCAGATTCACAGATGCAGATTATGTCCTCATGACCCTCCATGTCTGTAAAAAACTCATAAAATGTGTGGAGGAGTGGCTTCTCTACAGGGGATGTTAGCAGAAAAATGACTTGAAACGTCCCTTTTGGGAGGATTTGTTTGCAGATCAAAGATACAGATTCCCGAAGGAAAGTCATCTTTGTCTTGATCCAGGTCATTTCATCGCACGGCATTTCATTACCTTTGAAATCAGAGCGACCATTGCAAAAGATCCAGCTGGTCTGCTCAAACAGATGCAAGTGGTTTGTGAATTCCTTGATGCTCATACCAGCAGGTATCCTGTAGCTCTGCAGAAAATGCATGTTTGCAGCATGGTGTTCAAGGTACCTACAGCACAGGCCTGATACCTTTGAATCTGGGTCAAAGTCGAAGACACAGAAAACATTCATGTTTAGCAGCCAGTCAATATTACTGAGATCATCGGATTTGAATTTGTTTGTGACTAGTATGAACCATTTATCTTTTGCAATGAATTTTTTTCCACTGGTCAGGAGCATTGTGAGTTTTCGTCCAAGATCTTGGCAGATCTCTGGAGCAACAAGGAACTGCTTTTTCTCAGCTTCATCTCTTAAGGCATCACGGGCCTCAACTCCTTGGTAGAAATGACTCAAGTCACTCACTGGTTCAGTCTTTGAGCCAACTCTTCGATAAATCACATCTTTCTCAAACTCCAATTTGTTCGTTGCCTCCTTGAAATTTGGAAGACGCACATTATACACCTTTTTCTTCACAATGCTCAATAAAGGCACAATGTCTACTTCCACCACATACCTCTTTTCTGTACTTTCTCTATCCATAACCTCAATGAACCTTGGCGGCCGCACACACTGGAGTACCTGCTCCTTGTCCTCCTTGCGGAAACTTCTCTCACTAAGGTCCAAAGCATCTATATAAATGTCCTTTTCTTTAACAGGGATTCCAATTATCTCACCGTGCACATATCCTTCATTTTCCTTGCTGTCCATCACACCAAAGTGTATAGTGCCATTCGATCTGATATTCATGCAACCAGTTGCGAATTTAAAAACCTCTCTGGCAAACTTTGCTTGAAGTCTTGTGCGGTCCAGTGTAGCAGCTAAGGCAAAAGACTTGTATTCATGACAAGGAGATGTCAAATTGAAAGCCCCTGATTCAGGCTGGAGAACTGTGTGCTTTACATAGCTAAAATCAATCCCTTCTTCATCAAACGGTCTTGGTTTGCAGTCTTTTTTTGCAGATAAGACACAGTCTTTTATAACAGTTTGACTCTCTTTGGAAACGTCTTTGTCTCTCAGAGGAACTTCAGAACCTTCCACTGCACGTGAAGTTTGAACTGGTTTCCTTTGCTCCAATTCAGAGCTTCTGCTAGTAGCCAGCTGTTTGTTGCTCTGGGAGTGAAGAAGTAAGTCTCTTTTTTGAATAATTAAATGAGCAGGCCCAGATTTCATGGAAATCTCAGTTTTTAAAAAGTCTTCAGTCAGAGCCAGGAGGGTTTTCCCATCTACTTCTTCTTCATGGAGCTTTTTAATATACTGCTCCTTCACTCCGATCGAGCTTAGCCAGACACTCACATCAAATTCAGTCCAGTTTATAGGTGGCTTCTCAAGGTGTTCTGCTGAAAACAAAAGGTCAGAAATAAATATAGTTGTATTTTGTTGATGAAATCAGAAAAAAGTGTATTACTTTAGGAAAATATTCTATGCAAATTTGTTGAGTTCTGCTTTTATGTCTAAGGCCCCGTCCACAAGAAGCCGAACCCTGGCCTAAACGCACAAATTTTTCACCAAACCAGCCTCTCATCCATATGAAGCCGGCGTTTCGGGGGTCTGTAAACGATCTTTTTTTTATTCAGCCTTCAGAGTGGGAAGATTTTGAAACGCCGTTTTCGCGTTTCCATCTTTAAGCTCTAACCACATTTTTTTTTTTACACGCATGCGTCATAGCGTCGCCTGTAAACACGCATGCGCGACACAGTATCACAACAACAATGGCGCCGTACTGTGTTGAATGGTTGCTGCTCATGCTACTCGGGCTTACAACAGAATCTTCTTCTTCTGGAATATCTCCAGGAAGAACAGAGCAATATCGACGACATAGTTCAGCACCTGAATTTGACTGAACAACGAAAATGGACCCACAGGGCAACCATGTATAAATATTAGTGCCTATGCCCAACATTTCGTCGCCTATTTTTGCTTTGGCACCACAGCGCCACTTACAGGCCTGGCATACATTTTGCAGCGTTTTCATGCATTCGTGTGGACGATCACATTTATTTTACGTCTCCGTCTTTACGACAAACGTTCTGGAAAATATTAGCGTTTCGTGTTCGTTTTGACTTCGTGTGGACGGGGCCTAAAACAGTCTGCTTGGTGCCCTCGTCAGGTTGAAATGGGTTACTGCATCGGATTTCTGCTCTAGGCTTACCTGGGGATGTGACCTCACTAAGGGAGAAATCTTGGAATAAATCAGACAAGATATGGGGAAGACAAGGTACAATGCCACTTTGTCAAAGCAATACAGGCCTAAATGATGAAATTTTTTTGCTGCAAAAGTGTGACCATCAACTCAAGAACAATATCAAAATGCTTAGCATAACATGCTGGGTAAAGTTAAAAAGATTATTAAAATGTTCAGGGGGAAAGAGTCCTTGACTGGTAGAGGCAGAAGGACTATTTATGGGGGAAAATATGTTACCCCCAAAACAAGTAAAAAGCCTGATTAATTTGCCAATGCAATCAGTTCCATGGATTTCAATTTGCTGAGACATGTCCTGTGGTCAGGTGAAACTAATGAACTGTTTTAAGATTGTTTTTATGTTTTTCGGCACAATGATCATTGTTGCATTTTGATGAAAAGGTCTAGGAATGAGAACAACATATCATTAGTGAAATTGCAGGTAGCTCCATGTTGTATGGATCTGTTGTTATAAGAGAGACTGGGGCACCTCATGAAATACATAGGAACATGAGGGACGCATTCCAAAAAGTAAAAAAAAAAAAAACAATCCACTGGATTTTGTTTTCCAAGTTTGAAGATGTTTCGCTTTCCAACTAGGAAGCTTTTTCAATTCAAAATGTCTGAATTAGCATTGAGTTACAAGATTTATAGAGTGGCCTAACAAAGCTTTGTAATGGCTAAGAAAACATGCACATTTAACCGAAGGAACAGGTCCAACCATTAGTAATAGGGAGTCGTTGAGGTCGTTGTTGGCCTGCAAGCCTTGATACTTGCCTATGCCTCTGAAAAGGGAGTCGTTAGCAGTGATGGGAGTAACAGCATTGAAAGTAACAGTGTTAGTAACGAGTAATCTAACTAATTACTTTGACTGTAACTATAACACATTGCTGACACCCCGTTACTGCACGTTACTCAGGTTGCACAATTAACCTTTTTTCATTATAGGACTTGTGCGTGCCTTGTCATGAGAGAGGGGAGGATGAGATTGGCTGTTGTATAGTGAGATTCCGTCTGTCAGTTGGGTAGGTGGGTGTTTTCACATGCGGGTGTTAACGTACACACACACAGAGAGATGGAGAGTGAAGAGGAGTCTAGCAGCAAAACAGTGTTTTCCAGATGGAAATACAGGTGTTATGTCGAGCTGCGTTTCCCTAGCATCTCCGTCCGCACAGCGCAGGCGGCACAATTCACCGCGCAAGCGACAGGAAACGCGCATGCTCGCTAAAGGCACGTAACAGCTGCTCTGTGCTCATGCCACAGGGGAACTACGGAGAGCGTGAAGGATAAAATGTTAGCCTATATGGAGAAAGGGATGGATGGATAGATAGATGTTGCAGTATTTATAACAACCCAAACACACAGGAGGTGGGACGCTATGTGACGGGGTATGGAAGCCCATCAGATAGCGTTCCCCCCATTTTAAGCAGGGGGAACGTGCCCAAGACTGGTCGTTAGGGTCATTGTTGGCCTGGCTGAACAGGCGAGATGTTTTAGTCCCCTGCATAGCAATGGAGATTGATATGATAGTGGTAAGAAATCAACATTATCGCTGCTTTTTAGGTTTTTGAGAGCTGGAACCTGAGACCACCCCCTCTGTTAAAGGTTGTCGGTTTTTTTTCTTCCTTAACATAAATGGCTTCCTTCACACCCCTTTAAAACCACCTGTCTTCTCTGTCCAAAATGTGAACATTCTGGTCCTCAAACGAATGTCCTTTGTCCTTATGTGTAGATGGACAGGGACATTCGTTTGAGGACCAGAATGATTCCCTTTTCAGAGGCATAGGCCAGTATCGGGTCTTGCAAGCCAACAACGACCTCAACTACTTTCCATTACAAGGGGGTGGACCTGTTCTTTCGGTTCATGTTGCATGTTTTCTAAGCCAAAACAAGGTTCTTTTTCATAATATTCACTCGGTGTCTCGCTATGGGATGCAGCCTCCTGCAGCCCTGATAGAAGCATCTATCTCAATCTGCCAATCCTGATTGGCCGGTGGAAGTGCCCGTCATACGCCACGCCCCGTAGCTCTGACTACTAAAGCGTGTGCGGATCACGGCACTCCAATTCAAAACCTCTTCTCACCTGAGAGCTTATCTCACGTCGGAGCCTTCTGCTAGCTTAACTGCCCACAGACGGACCTTGCTAGTTTCCGTCGCCGGACGCTAGCACTGTGCTCTGGCTTCTGCCCTGTCCGCTCACTCCAGACCGGACCGGTATCCTTTTTGTTTCTCTTCACGGCGGAATCCCTCTCGGCTCCCCTCCACGGACGCTCGAGTCGGACGAGCATTAAGCACACCAGCTACTTCCTCGACCCCGCCACGCTAGCACGCCAGCTAGCTACGGTTCCTTTCCCTACCAGCACTCCAGCTCGTCGGAAAATGGCGACCGTCAAAAACCCCCACGCCAGGGGAGACTACCGTCTTTGTGGCTGCGGGAATAAAATTTCAGGGATGGACACCCACCCGGTGTGCAGTACCTGTCTGGGAGTCGACCACGCCAGGTTGGCCCTCAAGATTCCCGGCTCCTGTGGACACTGCAAAGTGTTCACAGTTAAGAGCCTCAGACGCAGGCTAGCCCGCCAGGTTAGCATCTCGGACTGTGATCCATTCCTCCCCACCGCCGCACAAGGTGCAGCAGCGGAGGAGGACGTGGACACAGCTGGGGAAGCTCCGGAGACTGACTACGACTGGGGTGCCCAGTGCGAGCAGCTCCATGCCCCCCCGTTTCCCGAGGAAGACGTGCTGGAAGTCAGCCCCATGGAGGAGGATGACGACACCTCGTTCCTCATATCAGAGGACGAGGAAGAGGATGACACCTTCACGGCCCCAACACAGCCTGAGAAGCCTAAACCGCCGTGCCCTTCCGCCAAGGAAGACAGGGGAGCGAGCTCACCAGCTCCCTCCCTCCATGTGGACCTGCTCGACGTGTGCAAACGCGCGGCAGAGAAGCTGGAGATCCCCTGGCCGGTCGCAATAGCGGAGCCCACCCGGTCCCGCTACGAAGGCAAACGGCTTCCCCTGGCACGAAATGCGGTGAAGCAGCTTCTCCCTGTCTTCCCCGAGTTGCTGACTGAGCTCTCCAAAACATGGACTAGCTGCCCATACAGCAACAGGAGCCCTATTTCGGGCGCAGCATCCCTCGACTGCGAGGCGATGGACGCCCACGGCCTCCTCTCCATGCCTCCGGTGGAAGTCCCGGTAGCTGCGCACCTCTGCCCAGGCAGCGTGAGCCAGCTGTCTGCAGCTTCCCCCAGGCGCCCGACGCTGCCAGCTAAACCCGAACGGTTTCAGTCTGCGCTGACCGAAAGGGCATACAAAGCAGCAGCCCTCTCGGCCAGAGCCCTCAGCGCCCTCTCCATCCTCACTGCCTACCAAGCGGAGTTGTTTGGCGCGTCTGCTGAGGAGCAAGACCCGGACGCGTGGGAGGAGATGGCGGTCATCGCGGATCTGTCTCTCCGTATCCAACGTGTCTCGGTCCAGGCCACAGGGAAGGTGATGGCAACCCTCGTCGTCCAGGAGCGAGCGCGATGGCTCAGTCTCGCTAACCTGACCGACAGGGAGCGGGATGACATCCTGGATATGCCGATCGTCCCTGAAGGCATCTTCGGCTCTGCATTGGCCACAATGCAGCAAAGATGTGAGGCAAAGAAAAAGGACAACGAGGCCCTCAAACTTTTTCTCCCTCGGAAAGCCCCTGCGCCTTCACCTCCAGTGCAGCGCAAAACCTTTGCGCAAGCAGCCTCCCAGCCGCCGCGTTTTAAGATACCAAGACGGCCACCACCGCCAGGTCCGCCCCCTCCGATGAGGAAGGAGCGCGGAGCCGGCTGGCAGGGGAAACCTGCCTCCACGACCGCTGCGCCGCCGCCGCCCACAGCCGCCGCCGCGACCTTGGTCCTACAGGCGAGGAAGAAAAAGAGGGCGGCCTGACAGCCGCCAGTTCCTCAGTTGGTGCAGCCTGCCGTTCCCAGTTTTGGCTTGTTTGTGCGCACCCCACGCCACCGTTGCCCATCCCAGAGCCGGTCCGCAAGGAGAAGGACATCGCCCCGGAGGTCTGCGCGGTTGCGCCCCGAGCGGAATGTCCACAAGCACAGTCACACACCCTTGTTCAAAGAAAAAATGGTGTCAAAATAAAAATAATAAATCTGTCACAGCCAGGCCACGAGCCGAGGGTGACAATGCTCAATGCTCTTTCCATAAGCAGGGTGGCCGCTCAGCCCCCTGCAGCTCTGCTCCCAGGACGGGCACCGCCGTCCCCGCGGAGCAGAGCAGAGCGCCCCACCGTGCCTCCGGTGGTGCCCGAGAATCATTTCTCGGTTCCACCACAGATGGGGCGCAGGGCAGGAGCCGCAATATGTTCCCCCGCTTTCTCTCAGATGGGAAAGCTGGAGAGCAGCAGCAGCTCCACCGTGGGTGTTGCGCACAATTTCCCGGGGATACAGGCTTCAATTCGCCACTGTCCCTCCCCGCTTCTCCGGTGTAATACACTCACATGCACAGGGAGAATCAGCTCGAGTTTTACGGGAGGAAATTCTCTCTCTGATAGACAAACGAGCGGTTTCTGTCGTATCTCCCGAACAGAGTCTGTCAGGGTTTTATTCCAGATACTTCCTCGTCCCCAAACGGGGGGGGAGATTAATCCGCCCTATTCTGGACTTAAGAGCCCTGAACAAATTCCTGCGGAAATACAAGTTCAGGATGCTGACACATGCAGCACTGTTGCGTCTAGTAAGACCGAACGACTGGTTTTCGTCCGTGGATCTGAAAGACGCGTATTTCCACATTCCCATTTATCCCCCTCACAGACAATATCTCCGATTTGCCTTTCAAGGGGTGTGTTACGAATACCGTGTTCTACCATTCGGTCTGTCTCTCAGCCCGAGGGTTTTCATACGGTGCACAGAGGCCGCGGTAGCTCCGCTCAGACGCCGGGGGATACGTCTGGCCACGTATTTAGACGACTGGCTCCTGTTAGCGCAGTCAGAACAGGAAGCCAGGGTTCACACACACATTGTCACAACACACCTGATGGATTTGGGTTTTGTGATAAATATGGAGAAAAGCCACCTATCTCCAACGCAGGAGATATGCTTTCTGGGATTATCCCTGCGCTCTGTTCCGTTCACAGCCCGCCTGTCAGAGGAAAGAGTGACGACTTTCAGAGCGTGCCTTGCACAATTCCGTCTGCACAGGTCTGTCCAGTTCAGACTGTGCCTTCGGTTGCTGGGTCTGATGGCCTCAGCCATCCTCGTGATTCGCCTCGGCCGCCTTCACATGCGGGACTTTCAGCGCTGGGTCGCTTCGCTCCGAATGGACCCCGTGCATCATGGCGCACGGCGGATAACGGTCACAGCGGACTGTATAACAGCTCTGCGCTGTTGGCGAGCCCCGTCCTTCCTGACCCAAGGGGTGCCTATGGGCACCGTCTCGTCCAGGAAAGTGGTAACCACGGATGCCAGCCTATCAGGCTGGGGCGGCATTCACGAGGGCAGGTCTGTGAGGGGTCGCAGGAGCCAGGCCCTCCAGCGCCTTCACATAAACTTTCTCGAACTTTCGGCGGTGTTTCTTTCTCTGAGACACTTCCTCCCATTCCTCTCGGGTCACCATGTCCTGGTGAGGACGGACAACACGACAACAGTGGCGTATATCAACCGCCAAGGGGGCCTGCGCTCCCGTATGTTGCACAATCTGGCGCGCGACCTGATTCTCTGGAGCAGTGCCCACTTTCTCTCCCTGAGGGCGACGCACGTCCCGGGAGACTTGAACACGGGTGCGGACCTGCTGTCCAGAGGAGCGCCAGTGTACGGGGAATGGACGCTGCACCCACAGGTCGTGGAGCAGATATGGGCGCACTACGGGCGCGCTCAGATAGATCTGTTCGCGTCCAGGGAAAACGCTCGATGCGAGCTGTTTTTCTCTCTGAGCACTCTGAATGCCCCTCTGGGCGTAGACGCACTAGCGCACGCCTGGGCGCACGAGCTGCTATACGCGTTTCCACCGCTGGCCCTGATACCCCCCTCTCTCGCCAGAGTGAGGGCATTCAATCACAAACTGATCCTGATAGCTCCGCACTGGCCAGCACAACACTGGCTGGCGGAGATATTCCAGATGCTGTGCGCCCAGCCTTGGGAGCTGCCACTGCGCAGGGACCTGCTCTCGCAGGGTGCGGGGACAGTGTTCCACCCACACCCGGAGCGACTGCAGCTGTGGGCCTGGCCCGTGAGTGGCTTAATTTAACCACTACGGGACTCCCTCAGAGTGTAATTACTACTATCCAAAACGCCAGGGCTCCCTCCACTAGGAGCCTATATGGCTCCAAGTGGAGACTGTTTGAGCGGTGGTGTCTTGAACGGGACTACGTTCCCTTTCAGTGTTCTGTACCAGCGATTCTGTTGTTTTTACAGGAACTGATTGATAAAGGAAAAGCTTTTTCCACGGTTAAGGTTTATCTGGCAGCTATAGCAGCATGCCATATAGGATTTGGAGACAAAACGGCGAGCCAACACCCTTTGGTTTGTTGGTTTATGAAGGGCGCCCGCAGGCTCCTCCCCGTCTGCGGCGGGAAGAGGTTTGCTTGTTGAATTGGAGTGCCGTGATCCGCACACGCTTTAGTAGTCGGAGCTACGGGGCGTGGCGTATGACGGGCACTTCCACCGGCCAATCAGGATTGGCAGATTGAGATAGATGCTTCTATCAGGGCTGCAGGAGGCTGCATCCCATAGCGAGACACCTCGCTCATATTATTCTAAGAACTGGGGTTATGTTAGATAACCAAACATTTTGTTGGGCTACTCTATAAAGCTTGGAACTCAACGCTAATCCAGACATTTTAAACAAAGTCCAGTGGTTTGTTTTTTTTAAACTTTTTTAGAGTAACTATGACCTATATGACTGAGAATCTTCACCAGCATAAAGGGAACAGGATTTAGTGTTCTTAATCTCATGGTAGGTCAGGGAGTAACAGCTTTGGCACAGATAGGTTTTGCAAATGAAGGTAAGCATCCTTCAGAACGAGTTTCAAAGTGTGTTTCAAAGAACAAAGTCCAAGTTTGGGTGTGGCCATTAAAAAGCCCTAATCACAGTCCAAAAAAATCTTTATGAGCAAAACTAAAAAGGTAAAGTAAACAGCTGATAAACACTAGTTCTGTCATGAGAAAGGGGGGGGGGGTGAGTTTGCACAAAGAGATAAGTTTGGTTAATAGTCTCTGATCTAAAACAGATCATATTTTGTTTAACATAAAATCAAATGGTTATCTGTCTTTGTCAGCCTTTGTTAATATCTGCTTTGACTGTATATCAGATATATAGATAAAACTCACCCATGGTTCCTTTTATTTGACTTCCTCAGTTTTGTGATTCCATTCTCATTGCCTTCATTCTGCAAGAGAGAAACACCATTTTAAAACAGTTACATTATTAGCTACCTGTATATTAATTTAAGTTGGCAAACAGTGTTTTAAGTACTGATAGCAAATACCGACACAGAGAAAATCTTTTCCCCCAGGGTGTGTCTCTGATGAATCACACTTCACAGCCAAGGTAACCAGCTACTCTGCAAGAAACAAACATGCTTATAACCTTTCATCACTCATTTATTTAATAATTTGACACAATGGATGGACTTATTGGAAGGTTAAATACATATTGTTACCGCTCACTATATAGGGCTGCTCATGTCTTGTGTTTTTTAATGTAAAAGCTTACAGGGCTGCTTCAGTGAAACTGTAGTACTGATTCTGTGCAACTGACTAGATAGCAGTCCTTAAAGGCTTAGATGTGAGAAATATAGATGAGAAGAACTAAGATCAGTGCTCAGGCTGGCCTTAGAGGTAGATGATCCTCTGCAGTTTATGCTTATATCCATTATTTTGTTAAACTTAACTGGAATTCAATCAAAATGATAGCAGACTAATCCGACCCATCTCTGAATAATGTATTTTATCCTTGTTTTAACTCGTTTTTCTACACACAGAATATTCCCTGGGTTCAGTTAACGATGTGGGCGATGGGGAACAGAAGCCCCATTCATTGTTTGTGCAGACAGAGTTAAGTTTCTGATTCTGAAAACAATCGATGGTTTGGAGGAAACCTCGGTGGCCACCGTAGGAAAATGAACAATGAAAACAAAACAAGTCAAAAGCGCCGAAATGTTCCCAATCCAAGAACATCATTGCAAAAAAAGGTTAAACTGCAGACATTTATATAAAATAAAAACTCACCAGTGGATCTGAAGAATCGTGCTTCGTTTGAGGAGGATGGTTTAAGGCTGCATGGGCGACACTGGTTTTATTAAGGGACTGAGAGTTAATTATAAAGGAATAAACTAACGCGTTTCATACATTGGAAACGTGTTTAGTTTCCTCTCCTGACTGAGGCAGCAGCAGCAGACTACAGATTCATTCCTTCAGATTGTGCGTCAGCAGCGCGCGCTGCGCACGCTCAGAAAACCGCTCTGTTAACTTTCGCTTCTCCTGAAACTATTAAATAAGGCAGGGCGGTGATACAGCTATCCCACAAGGGGACACAAAATAACGGGGCCAGTACGGTTCTGGTGCGAATAAACACCAGAAGAAAGCTTTAGGGAGGAACGAACCATGAGTCAGTTTCCCCTTTGGAGTGCTGCCACATTCCTCCCACTTTCCCCTTTCTAACACCCCCATAGATGGTTGGTAAATATAACATCTGTTGAACAGAAGTCAAATCTGTGAACTTCCTAAAGTAGCTCCATCAGTAAAGCAGTGGTCCTTTTATAGTGGATTCACTCTGAGGGACAATTGGATTAAAATGCATCATCTGAAAACAAACTGGTGATTTTAATTCAAGAGGTGCACATTTTCAATGTTGAAAATATGCAAAGCATGGTAAATAGATTAATAACTCTGTTTCACATTTGAAATGTTTTTATACCAACAGAAATCTGAAAAGTGTGGTGTACATTTTACACTCTCCAAGCCATTCCCATTATGTGTCATAGGGGTTTGTCCATAGTTCAGATGGTAGCCCCATAATAACTACTGTATAGGGTTCATGCAGCTTAAGGTTTGCGATCAAAATGAGCAGTTTAACCAACTAAAAAGCACAAACAGGGCCTACACAGGAACCCTAGAGTCCACCCTTAGCAAAATAAGTCAAAATCTTTGGATATTATCTGTGAAATAGCATATTTAATTTCACCACAGAATCCAAACTTAATTCAAGTTTAGCTCATTGGTGTTCTTTGATCATTCTGTTATAGTTCTGTGGTCATTATCCTACTGGAAGGGGAACCTGGGCCACAGTCTCTAATCCTTTCAAGGGTTTCATGTATTACTGTAGTTTTGTCTGGAGACAGGCTGTTATATTTTTTTTTAAAGTGGCAGCAGAAAAAAAATAATAAACTGTATGAAATGCGATTTATGAAAAATAAGTAATTGAATATATGTCATGAGATCAGGGTCTCTAATGGTTTCAGTCAGCAAATTCCAAAACCCTTTTAAACCTGCCTGAAACCCAATACTTGTCCGCAGGGATGCAGACTTCCCTTTCCCCAGATGCCTTCAATCTAAAATCTCTGTTATTTATATTTAAGACTCAGTATGTAACCATAGATAAGAGAGTGAATATGAGTTTAATTCCCAAAAAGAACTCTAAAAGTGTTAGCGAGGAGCAGCACTCTTAAGAGTTGGCAGGAAAGGGTAAATGTCCAAGCCTTGTAATTTCTCATATTAAAATATATCTAGGGCTGAGAAAGTTAGTCAGATTAATCTTGATGAGTTGATTGAAATAATCGTAAACTAATTTAATCATTAACTGGAGTATAGACTCTAAAACATGCCTTTAGCTGACAGAGCAACCCACTTAGAGCAGTAATTATACAAAAATTGTAAAAAAATAAAATAATATTATATTATAATATATATATATATATATATATATATATATATATATAATTTAAAATACAGAACTTTTTCATCTGTCAATATGTTCAATCCAGAACTTCTCAAGTGGAAATGTTTTAGTTTCACCTGGTTTAATTTAGTAAAAAAATCTTCTTTAAGAAACCTTTTGCTATCCAATTATTAATCAATTCGTTCAAAAAATAACAGATTAATCTATTTGCAAAATAAATGTTAGATGTAGTCCCAACTACAACCTTTCAGACAAAATTTTAAAAATTTAATTAAAATGTTTAAATCCTGCAGAAAACTCTTTGAGATACAAGATAACCAAACAAGGAAAATAGCAAACCATAGAATTTAATATGTGCAAGTCATTATCATCACTATGACACTTAAAAAAAAAAAATTAACATTTTCCGGCTCCACTTTTCAACTCATTCTCAACATCAAGATGAGGATTCAATCATTTCCTTGATCCTGATACTTTGGAACATCTGAGTCAGCAACACAGATAGACACAGATTCTAGCAGCATCAAGTGGAATCAAGCATATAAAGCACAGGCTTTTTAAAGATCAGTACCCATGCAGTACAGTGATGGGTTTTCATATATAGATATATAAAAAAAAAGGCACATGGGCCATGTTAAGCGATTTATGACCCAGAATTTCAATCTTTCAGTACAAAAATCACACAAACAGCATCTGTAGCAAATGCTCTTACTGACAAGCACACATTGCACAATAAAACTACCCAATTGTTTAACATTTGCAGACATTTTCCACAACATTGAGCATTTCTTTTTTGCACAGTGTCATAAAAATAACATTTAAAAGCCATTTCTTTTCTCAGTCAAGCTACAAGAATTGAACCAACGACACCTTGTCGGCAGTTGGGCGTCTGCGCGGAGAAGATAGACGGACACACCTGAATCCAGACCAGCAGAAGGCACTTTTGTTTGCGGTCCGGCTTCTGTGCCTGCAGGTGATTGCAGGCACTGCAGGCCTGCTTCTCACCGTGGCACAGCAGCCAACCCCTGAATGTTCTCCACTGTTTAAGGCAAAGCTCCCACGCCCCACCTGGGTCCACTTTAGCATTGGCTCAGTCTGCACTTCTTGTGTTGTCCAGGGTAGTGAATATATCAGGCCTAAGAGGATCTGTAGGCCATTTTGAGACATTTTCACACAGGTCAGACGCTGTGGTGTGTTCGAGAATTTCAGGGTGACATGTTTGAACAGAAGAGTCTGAAGATACTGAATGTTCTCTGGATGACTGCACAGACTGTGATAAATGAAACTCTTCTCGCGTTTGTAACGTAGGTAGTGATGTGGAACTTTTCAGGGATTGAGTGCATTGATCAGCGAGTCTTTGCAAACCCTGCGTCTGTGTTTTTTGCTGCTGCTGTGCAGCGGGGTAGTAAGGCAGGAAAGGCCTCTCGGGCGCACAGATCCTCATGGCGAGGTAGGTGTGCATAAGGAGGTGAGGAAAGCGGGATGTGAAGTATGAGACAAAGTCATCGGGGATGGAGCCCAGAGTCTCCTGCACCTCAGCTGGCAGTTCCCGGTAATGATGTTTCTGTTAAGACAAGATCAATTATGAATCTACATCTGGGAGATGTTTGGTTTTAGTCATAACCTTTATTTTGAATCAAACTCTCACCTTGTTTCTCATTGCACGCAGAAGGTCGCGGACCGACCCACCCTTATAGGAGCGAAACCTCCGCAGATCTAATAAAGGGGGAAAATAAAACCTTTTAAAGAGAGTAAAATAAAAATAAATAAAACCTAATCTTTTCTTTACCTCCACTTTCATATGACACTGAATATGTAACCTTAAACAAACCTATTAGGACATAAAAAATAAAAGTGTGCACACAAGATAATTAAAACTCCTTTTGATTTACTTTCAACAAGGAATTTATTGAGTTCACACCCGCCATCAATTATAGTACTACAGTTTTCTTTTTATTTAGATGAAGTTCTGCTACCCTACGACTGTTCTGGATTTTTCTCATCAGTTACACTAACTAAAGCCAAAGTTTGGAGAAAGGGCATCAATCAGGGTTCTATAACATGAGGATCATATAATCTGATGCACTGTAAACTGTCATCAAATGGAAAAAGTTAGATGCTTCCCAAACATTTATGAAAAATAAACTGTTCATCTTTAGGTTTTTGAGTTTTTGTTTTGGACTCATTAGAACTGCATAACACAGAGATTATAAAAAGAATCCAAGCTTTTGCAAGATTCAGCAATAATATGTCTGCATGCATTTCTTCCTAACGATATGAAGTGTGCAGAATCTGTATAAAACTGAAACCTTTTCTTTAAATAAAACACACAGGTTAGGCTAAAATTACCCAGAACCAGGTGGAAATGTGTTTGGTTCAAAGAAACTACAATAAGAGTTTTTTTTCTCCAATAAAATTAAATGTAATATTCGGCACAACACCACCACAGCGCATCATCAAAGCAAGACCATGATAGATGAAGATGATGGCAGCAGTGTCAGTTTCTGCACAAAAAAATGACCCCAGTCACCCAGAGAGGTATGACTTCAATTCAAGTAAATGATGCTGTGTGATATACTAGCAGGAGTCTAGATCTGAATCAAATAATACGGAGTCACCAGCAGAGACACAACCCAAGTCCTTACTGGGAAAAAGAGGTTGCCAA